AAACAGCAAGTGCAAAAGCCTTAAGGGGTGCATGTGCCTGGTGTGTTCCAGGAACTGAAAGGAGCTCCAAGCAGTAGAACACAATGAAGGGGAGAGAGAGAGGCAAGAGACAAGGTCAGAAAGACATGGAAAACCTTCCAGGACATGATTTAAGGGGAAAAGATGGGAGGGCCAGGTACCATCACATTGAGTAAAGAAAACATGTGTGCCTACATCCATATATAGGCACACATAACATATATGTCTATGTTATGTGTGCCTATATATGGACATATATTTTATATATGTCGATATATGTGCTTGTTTATCTTCTGAAACATTAGGTAACAGATTTTCCGGTGATTACCTTTTTATTTTATATTCTTCCACATTCTTGAGAATTTTTACCTTGCATTTATTGTTTTTTAAAATGTGTTTTTATTGAGTTCAGAGAGGAAGGGAGAGAGAGGGAGGGAGGGAGAGAGGGAGAGAGAAAGAGAAACATCAATGATGGGGAAACATGGGGGTGGTAAGTCGGCAAAACAGAAAAATGTCTCTGATGAAGTCAACCAAAATTTAAATAATTGTTTCAAACCGGAGCAATAGGGACTGACGGCCTCTCTCTGGAGGTAGCTCCAGGCAGACTTTCTCCCAGGAAACTCTATAGGCCTGATTCTGTGCCAGCTCTATAGGCCTGATTCTGTGCCAGCTCTATAGGCCTGAATGCTGTGAAGGTCCGGTGCTGTCCTAGGCTCTGGATGTGGCGCAGAGAAGCAGAGTCCTTCCCTCATGGAGCAGGTCAGCAGGTGGATGATGATCGGGCTGTGGAGGAGAATGGAGCAAGGTAAGGCCTCATGAACCACAGGGCAGCCTCTCGGAGGAGGCAACCATTTAAGTAGAGATCTGAAGGGAGAGAGAAGCCAAGAGGACATGGCAGGGTCCATTAAGTCTTCAAATCAGACAAAATCCGCATGATTGCTTTTCAAATCATTGTGTTTTTTTTAAAAAATGTGTTTTTATTGAGTTCAGAGAGGAAGGGAGAGGGAGAGATAGAAACATCAATGATGAGAGAGAATCATTAATCAGCTGCCTCCTGCACAACCTCTACTGGGGATCGAGCCCGCAACCTGGGCATGTGCCCTGACTGGGAATCGAACCATGACCTCCTGGTTCATAGGTCGACACTCAACTATTGAGCCATGCCAGTCAGGCTATTATTTTTATAATAATCAAAACATAGCTTAAAAATGAAAAGTCTTAACCATATGTTGGGGCTCCAGCTAAAGTCCTTCTCTCCCCCTTTACAGCTGAGCTTCTCAAAGAGTTGACTCCACTTTCTTCCTTTGCCCTCTCCATTTCCCCTCAGCCAAGTACATTCTGACTTCCGACCACCTTTCCCGGCAACTTCTCTTGCTGAGACCTTCTGTGACTCCCCAGGACCAGGAGGAACACTCTTCAGTCCTCCTGCTTCTCGGCCTCCCTGTTACATTTGACACTGCTGACAGCTCCTCTGTCTGAAACTCTCTCTCCTTTGGTTTCCCTCTTGCCCATTTCTTGCCCCTTCACTGGCTCCTTTTTGTTAGCCCGCCCAATAGACCTGGGTTTCCACTGGCTCTGTTTTTGACTCCTTGGCCTCTGTTTACTACACACGCTCTTTCTCTGTGGCCTTATTCATGCCCATGGTTTTGAGACAGTATAGGGACATGGGTCAGGGAATGGAAAAATACTGGGTGGCCAGGAAGCCAAGTTAAGACCAGGTGGCCAGAAGATGTGGAAACCACAGTTTTGCATGCACAGTTGGTCAAGATTTGGCCCCTATTAGACTTTCCTGGGTTTTCGATAATAAGCAACACTGCCATCTTGCCCCAACAGCACCAGTATGCATTTAGTTGCCAAGCAACCTGACAGAAGGAGGAAGTAACCCCACCCTGACATAGAAAATTCCACTCCCTGCTTGTTTTGTGCAAGCCTGCTTCATCCCAGCTTATAAAAGCAGCCAAGCAAAGCCAGCCCAGGAGCCAGTTCAGAGGACCTTTCATCCCTCTGTGCTGCCTCCCTGGTGCTCGAGTATAGCTCAATAAAATCTATCTGGAAAATTCTCTGGGGGTTCCTCTTGACTTCTTTTTTTTTAAATACATCTTTATTGATTTCAGAGAGTGAGGGAGAGGCAGAGAGATAGAAACATCGATGATGAGAGAGAATCATTGATTGGCTGCCTCCTGCACACCCCCCTACTGGGGATCGAGCCCATAACCTGGGCATATGCCCTTGGCCAGAATCAAACCTGGGACCCTTCAGTCCTCAGGCTAACGCTCTACCCACTGAGCCAAACTAGCTAGGGCCCTCTTGATTTTCTCTATTGGGGAACCCAAGAACCCCAACACTGGTAAGAGTTTCAACTACCATCTCTCTGTTTCCAAGTCCCAGATCTATATTTTAAGCCTTTTCTTCTGGGCTCCAGTCCAATCTATACAGGTGCCCATTAGACAGTTCCACCTGCAGATCTCACAGGAACTCAAACTCAACTGTTTCAAAACCTAACTCATCATTTCCCAAGGAAAACATCTTCTTACTGTTGTCCTTTTTGTAGTTGGTGATATCACCAACTGCTTGATTGACCCCAGCTGGCAACCTGAGAAAAGTCCCACATCTAAATGGACACCAAAAGTCATTCCAACTGCTAAGTATCTCTGAAAGCCATCTTCATCCCTGTGTCTTCAGGCCCCTGCACCCAGCATTTGGACCACTGCATATGGGGGTGGTCAGACATATCCTACCTGCATTTTCTGCCTCTAGTCTTACCATCAGCCTGCTTTCTTACGCTTAGTTGCCACAGTGATGTGGCACAAATTCCATCATCAATCCCTGTTTGAAATCTTTCAGTTTTTTCCCTGCCTTTCTAGGATAAAATTCAAATTCCTTAATATGATCTGGCCACATCCTTTTTTCTTTTTTTAATATATTTTATTTTATTTTTTTTTTACAGAGAGGAAGGGAGTGGGATAGAGAGTTAGAAACATCGATGAGAGAGAAACATCGATCAGCTGCCTCCTGCACACCCCTTAATGGGTATGTGCCTGCAACCAAG